ATTTTTGAAGATCTCGCGATCCGGCGACGCTGGGGCTACCACAGACGTGTTCCAGACAGGGATCGAGGACGATCCTGATCGCGGGTCCGTGTTAGGACGGAGATCATATATCGACGACATCATGATCGCAGCGGAATCGTGGGACCAAATGTGCCGAAGAGTGGAGGATCTGTTGGAAGCGTGTGATAAGTGGAATTTGTCGATCAGTGTAGCCAAGAGCTTCTGGGGCATCGATAAGGTAGGGTATCTGGGACATCGAGTGTCGATCGGAGGTTTGGAGGCAAGCCCGAAAGACCTGAAATCGCTGACCGATCTGCCGCTCCCTGGATCTCTGCGATATATGCAGTCGTTCCTGGGCAGTCTAAATTACTACAGCCGATTCATCGAAGACTATGCAATCTATGCCTCGGTACTCTACGAATTACGAGAAGTTGAGTTTAGCAGAACTGGAGAAACGATCGGATCTGAGAGAGATCTTGGATCGGAATGACCCGATTGTTCGAGATCACGATCCACCGGAACTGAAGTTGACGGTAGGAGAGATGGATCAAGGCTCATAGGGCCTTCATCACCCTAAAAACCAAGATCGCGACGACCCCAGTCCTCCGCCATTTCGACGAGACGAGAACGCCGGTAGTTATCGTATATGCCAGTGATTGGGCGATATCCGCTTCTTTGACGCAAGAACACGACGGGATCTACCATCCGGTAGCGTTCGCCAGTCGCACCTTGAAGACGAACGAGCTGAATTAGAATGTGACTGAGGAGGAGGTGTTGGCGTTGATGAGGATCTTGGATCTCTATTACAATTTACTAGCAGACCGCGAGATCCGGGTCCTGACAAGGCATTCTACGCTGGCCTGGCTGTTCAAGTCGACGGGGTTGCAAGGTCGCCTGGGACAATGGTCTGCCCTCCTGGCCCCATGGATACTCGAGATCACGAAGTGCACGAAGGGTGAAGATGAGATACTGGGGGCGATCGCTGCTAGCATCACGCCGAGGGCGGAGATCGACGATGCTCTGAACGAGATCGCCCCCGGAAAGAACCTAAACGCCGGATCCAAGAGCCAATACCCACCGTAGATCGGGACGAGGAACTATGGGTGATCCGTTTTGACGGATCCGCTCGATTTAAGCGCGGGGGGGATGCGTTCAGTGCGATCGGATGGAGTCTTCCCGGATGGGAGGTGGTCAAGGCCAGATCAGGCTATCTCGAGAGCCTCACCGTGAACGAAGCCGAGTATAACGGCTTGATTCTGGGACTCGACATGCTAGAAGACTTAGATCGCAGACGCCTGGTGATCTGCGGGGATTCTAACCTGGTGATCCGACAAGTGCGGGGTGAGATCGACTGCAAAGCAGCCGGACTGACGCTATTGAAGCGGAAAGCCCTCGATCGCTTGAGGAAA